CTACACATAGCAATTATTTCAGCTCAACAAGAGAATCTTACGGCGTAAACGCAATCGGCTATGTCCAAATTAAAAGAGATGGAGAATTATGTACAGCAAAAAGTCGAGTTACTCCGGAGCTATAGGATAAAGAAAGTTATCGTGTTACAGTTATTTTAAATGAAACGCAAAGCTTGGTTCAGTCCTGCCAATGTGAAGATTGTGCCACACATTTTAAACTTTATCCAATTTTCGACGTCGTTCTCCAACTATAAAATTAAAAATATGTTATACACAGGTTTTGTAAGTATTAGGTAGGTTACAAACGCGTTTTTACGTACAAGCAGATTAATTAAGCATATAACAAATATATTCGCCGACTTACGTCAAAGTGATCTTCACAGCATCGAATAATGGTCTTTGGAGAATAATTGTCATTTCTCTTCGCAGCTTGAAACCACTTTTTTCTCAATTTTGGGTCAATTAAATTAATTCAATCAAAATTCAAAAACAATTTATTAGGATACTTTGTTGAAGTAGATGGACACATTGGACAAAACATGAGTCAACACGGCTTTTTTTGGGAATATTAGTGGTATTGTTATGATCACCTGATGTTGATGGATAGTACATTTTAAATTTTTACAAACATATATCTCGTAAGTCGAAAAAATATGCAAAAGTATGAAAATTAAAAGCCAGCGACGAACAAGTACGACCAGTGACAGACAGGAGTGACGTCGTCGGAACTCGAACCATAGGTCCGTTTTCGCGCGAAACTTTAAACTGTCAATTTAAAAGCGCATTTTTTCCGATAAATTACAATGTTTTAATTTTTTAATATATCTGTGGTTTATTCTACATGGAATTCTTTAAAATGAAAACAAAAATAAAAATATTGCATCTTCCTATTATGTTTGGTATCGCAAGCGTCTATAGGCTATGATGGCCGCCTATCCGCGGATCATATGCATGTTTACCACCCTTTTCACATAAAAAAAAGAGTCTGATGTTAACGGCCATCCTGGGCCAAATAAGAGTATTCCAGGTCATTAACGCGTTTTGCTTTGACGACCTATGTAGTTCCTTTACGCTTTAAGTTGATTTTCAATATATGTATCGTGATCTTAGACAAAATAATCGTTATCGATGAGGTACGATTATGGAGCTGTCTAAATTTGTGCTTAGACCTTAGTTTTAGGCCACGATTTAGTTAATCTATACGAAACTGGTATTTGTATTTACCTATACTTTTAAATGAAAGTCTACATATACATCATGGACGTATAAAAAAAGGCGGACAGAGTTTCGGCTAAGACAATACTGAGGCACCGTAATGGCGGCGGCTATTGATGAGTGAGTGAATTGTAGGGTTGCTAGGTTAGCCAATTTTTTACCAATAAAACACAGTAAAAACATGAAAATATTTTGATTGTTCAAAATTTTACTTTTTGCCCGACTGCGGAGGATAATGTTTTTCGAGCGTATGTATGCATGTATCTATGTCCAATAATTTGGCACGCCCTACAGCCTGAACGTCTTGACGGATTTTGATATGCGAGGTGTCATTTGATTTGTCGTGATTGTGTGAGTGGCACTCGGTATATTAAAATTTCAAAAAATCAAAATAACAGATTTTATGCGCCAAAATGAAACATTTTGAAAAAAAAGTATAAGTATTTTTATAACCCGTCAAGCGAGGTATCAAAGTGAAGGGTTTTAAAAGAATATTTAGAAAATATACAACTCGTGTAATAAAAAAATAATGAAATTAAAACGTCGAAAATAAAAAAAAATGTACTAAAAAGAAAAAAACAAGTCCAGTAGTCTAGAATTCTGTTTAATAAGGAACAAAGTTACATAACAGTCGGACTCTTTCGAAATTCTAGAATGTATCGAATTTTCTCAATATTGGGTAAATCAACTAAATATACATGGCCTGGCTTGCAATCTCTTTCATATTTCCTAAAATAAACTAACACCCATTGAGTACTGTTTGTAATTGAGGAGTTCCATTGTTTTCCTCCGAAAGTACTCATCAGATCTCCAGTAAACTAATATGCAGCCATCTCGCTAGTAAACTGATTAAAACAAAAAAAGAATCATCATAAACGGTCCACGAATCTCGGAGATCTGCGCGAACAACAATAAAAAAAAACAAATATGACGCATTGCGAACCTCTTTCTTTTCGAAGTCGGTTAAAAATTTTAATCAACCTTTTGAGGTAATGCATACGTAATAACACGCCGGAGTCCTCCTTTAGTTGTATATAAGTCTTGAGCTTCAAAATGAAGACTAAAAATGACACCTACTACATATTTGTTTGGAAATCATTCATTTTCCAGTAATTTCTCCATACTACATTTTCTTTAAGAAATCTGATAAAAAAGAATAATAAATAATAGATTGAAGTTAATGTCAACCCAATTTCCCAAATTTTAGGTAATATGGTTACATGAACATTGGCAACACTGGGCTTTAGACTAATCATTTTGTCCTTAGAATTAAAATTGATTTCGCTTTCTAAAAACTAGAAAAAAGTGATTCAATTATTCATTTACCTATGAAACGTGATTTTGGATTTTTTTTCTTTCGGTCACTACGGTTTTTACACCTTTTTACAAGCAAGATATCTTGTTTAGCTTATTTTTTATCTCCACGTAACGTGTCGGCTGCTTTGACGTTTGCACGCGTAGTGGCTGACTATTGTGTGAATGTGTGCGTGCCGGCTTGTACGTACAGCGACCTGGCCGACTCTGAGCGACACAGTTTATTGTTTACCGGGACTCAGTCCGCCTTTTTTTATAAGTCCATGATATACATGAAATAAATTTAATACATTTCGACGTCCCCCGCGAATAATCCGGTAATGACTTATTACGGGGTTTTTCATGTTATGCGTTTTTCGGTATCTAGAAGTTAAAATACACCATGTAATTTTTTTTCACAATTTTTCTATCTTTATTTACGAAGATATGAAAAATTACGCGTATATTCCATAAAAATTCTTTAAAATGTATTTTAAACGAATAATATAGTTTTAGATTTTTACGAAAAGAAATATTAATATGATTTGTCAGCAAACATTATTTACGATATTATTCGGGTAAACAGGTTTCAGCAACTCCCTATTTCTATGCGCCCTTTTTTTCAATTTGAACAGTCAAAAACTGTAAAATTATAAATCGGGTATTTACGTTTGTAGTGGAAAATTTACACTTCAGGCTGTGGTACATTCAAAACTTTTTCTAAATCATGTGATGGCTTCAAAACGACAGTATGAAAGAGTGTTTAATAGTAACTACAACTATTCCTTTTTTAAGCCTAAAAAGGATCAGTGTACTTTATTTTCACAATATCAGCAAGCTGACTCCATTGAAAAGGCATCTTTAGAAGAAAATCACAGGAAACATTTGAGTATGAAAAAAAGAGTTCGCGAAATTAAAAATGAATAAAAAGAAACACTTAATAAGGATGACACCGTTGTGGCCATTTTTGATTTAGAAAAAGTTTTGAATGTACCACAGTCTGAAGTGTTAATTTTCTACTGCAAACGTAAATACCCGATTAATAATTTTACAGTTTTTGACGCTCTTAACAAACTAGGGTTCTGTTACGTTTGGCAAGCTCAAATCGGAAAAAAGGGCGTATCGAAAGAGGGAGTTGCTTGTTTCAATTTGTCAAGACCGTACACGAAAAAAGGTTTCTACGCAAATTTTTATTTTACTCTGATGGTTGTTATGGCCAGAATAAAAACAGATACATATTTGCATTGTATCTTTACATTGCAATGACTCTTCAAATTGACATTACCCATCGCTTTTTTGTTGGCGGGCATAGCCAAAATGAAGGCGACTCCTTGCACGCCTGTATTGAAAGAGCTCTGAAAAACAAAGTTTTGTACACACCGGACCAAGTATATAGTATCATCATGAACGCTAAAGTCTCCGGTGACCAATATATCCTAAAAAATGCAACAATCTGAAATCCTCAACATAAAAGAACTTGTTGAACCCAAAAGATGGCTTCAAGATAAGACAGGAGAAAAAGGACGATGGTCCGATGTGATGGAGGTTAGTGTGTCATGCAGTAAACCTAACTGTTTTCTTTTCAAATATGATTTTGATCAGGATTATTTTGAATTGGATTACAATGCAGGCAGAAGTGGACAGCGTCGGCAAAAACAGGTGTCCAAAACAATTGAAAGTATTGAATTAAAGCCAGCATACGACAAGCCCCTCCCTATTAAAAAAGCTTTGTATAATGATCTCCTATGCCTGTGTAACTCCCAAGCAATTCCCCACCATTATCAACCATTTTATAGAAACTTAAGCTTTTGTGATATTGAATCAGGTCACGATGAGGTTTCTGATTAAGATTTTTAACTGTAATAGGACCTTATTATAATTATCATGATTGTGTTAGCATGTGTAAATGTATGTCTTCAGTGCAGTGTCTATTTTTTTATGATAATAATAACTATCGTGTTTTGTCAAATTAACCAAAGTTGTTTCATTAACTAGAATGTCCTTTATTTCATAAAATATGCTTTAATAATCACCAAATAATATTTAAGTAAACTATTTGAATAAACAATAATAGCCATAACAATAAAATGGACGTTACTGTTAAACAATCGAATAACCTAATAATTGCTTTTTACAAATGTTCAGTAAACAAAACAAATTAAACGAATAATATTGCAACACGATTTTACTGCGGCCGTCGAAAAAATAAATTTACATGAACAATATCGTAAGTGTTATTACTGACACCATTGACCTACACTAATATAGTAAAATGCATCCAGCTAAATTATAACGAGCCCTTGGGACTACTCAAATTTTGTTGAAATAACCAGATAGCTGAAAAAATTAGCTTCCATATGCGATATTAAAAGTCTCTCATACTTGTTGTTTAATGGAGTTATTAAGTAAAAATGGTTTTTTATTTTTCCTGAACATTTACTCTTTTACGATTACCGGATTATTCGCGGGGGGCGTCGATTTTAAAGTATACTTAATAATAATTATTTTCTTTCTTGCTTATCTCATATCTAAGAATAATCCATGAATAAGTAAAAGATTTATATAAAAATATTTGTTTCACAGCTTCAATTCTAGGGAATAATATGAGGCATTTACACAGTAAGCTAATAAATTGGTTTTAAAAATATAAGGCACTGCTCAATTTTACAGCAATTATAAATGCGGTTATAGGAGATAACTACAATCACTATTTGTTACTACCAGGAAGTGGGAATGTCTTACTAAAGTTCTCTATTTGATTTCTAAGAGATTCGATCTTTTGTTTGTAATCTGGAGTTTCTTCGATGGCTTTGTTGAAATCTGCTAGTTTTGGTCCAGACGTCCTAACGATTTCTTTGGCGATATTGAGAGCTCTGTCTATATAGTCGACCACTTTATCGATATCTTCTTCTTTGAGTCCTCTCGTAGTTAGAGCGGGTGTTCCTGAAACAAATAAAAAACCCTTATAAGAAAACAAAGCCTGACGATTAGCTGTATTATAAACACTGGTTAAGTATATTGCAAAACATAAGCCCCCTTATTAATAAACGAAGACAAAGCTTGGATTAGTTACTCTATGTTTTGTCTCTGTTCATTGAATGATAAATGGCACTGAGTGATATGAACAAAACACGGCGTAAATAGTCTAAGCTTTTACTTTGTTTATTAATAAGGGGGAAGGTGTTTATAATCAAATCGGGTGTATGATTGTCCTGTGCTATTCGCAATTGGCTGTCGGCTGCTTTCACAAACAAATTAATTTACAACTTTTTAGGTATCAAATACTTAAGTGGGTACAGTAAGAAGTTCAGATTTTTTCTCGTTGCACGTTCATGCCTTTTAACTTTAAACGCTTATTACGACATTTTTTAAAAGATACCATAGTTTAAGTGCTGCTTATTATTAAACAAAATACCTGTTGTGAGTTGTACGGTTTTTTTTAATTCTTAACTTTAACTACCTATTATTATCCTCTTTTATACTAACCTTATCACATGGGACTCAGGTTGAGGGTACAGGCCGACGCCCTTCAGGCCAGCGTTGCCAGACTCTCAAAAAGTTCCGAAATCCCGACTTGGCAAAAATAAAATCTGGCAACGCTGGCACAAGCTGACACCCCTCAAGCCACTATCAACTTTAATGAAGCTTATGATAACGTGGTCTTTGTCTTTTGGTTTCTTACCTAGCCGGATACCACTTGGGTTGAGGGCACTTTTGTCTCCGGGCACTGTGTTCTTGTTGCAAGCGATGCTGCATAGCTCTAATATTCTCTCAGCGGGCGCTCCGGTGAGGCCGACGCCCCTCAAGTCTACCAGTACTAAGTGGACGTCGGTGCCGCCAGTGGCGATGTCGTATCCTCGCGATATCAGACCTTGGCAGAGACGTTGGGCGTTCTTCACAACCTGGCGGAGAAGAAAATTTTAAAATAAAATAATAAATTTTAAGAAAATTTTACTAGAAAAAAATCCACGCGAGCCAGGTAGCAGACGGGACTCGAACCCGCACCCTCCGCAATCTGGGCGGATGCAATGATCAATTATGCTATGCTTACTTCATGTCGCTTTAATGCCAATGAACAGAGACAAAGCATGGAGTAACTAATCCAATCACATTCTTCATATATTAATAATAAGGTTGAAGTTCGAGTATTGCACTGTTTGTATCAATTTATGACTCATAAAAACATTATCCTAGACAAAAAAAAATTAAACGAAATAGGCCAAGTTCGACCTTACTGCTAAGCAAAAGAAGGCCATGTAATAAACAATGAAATGAAGATTTTGATCCAGTTTCGTTTTGATTTTTGTAGTAGAGGGTTAATTCTATACTACAAAAATCATTCTGTAGTATATGATTAGTCACAAATGTAAATATTATTTTATAGTAAAATTATAAAACTATTTGACTTTGCAAAGTAAATATCCAATTTATTATTAGTGATTAATACAGCAATTCTACTTCAGTAAGTGCTATCCTAAATATGATACACTATGTGATATACAGTGATTATTTAATCATCATAAAATTATCCAATAGATCATTTTATTTCATATAGTAAATAATTTTATTGATGTAATATAACGTCACATTTGCTGATAAAACGATTTACTGATCTTTGACCTTTGCATATTATATGTTGCTATGTAACAATTACCTGCTGTTGATAGTAAACGAATTCAGAGGAAGTAGCTTGTTTCATGGCTGTGGCGATGCCTGCAATTGCGTTATTGTGAGGACCACCCTGTAGGCCGGGAAAGACGGCTTGATTGATACGACTCTCGAAATCGTACATTACTTTAGTTCCATTGGCCTTCACAGAACGAACACCCTTTCGGTAGAATATCACCCCAGCACGGGGACCCCGAAGTGTTTTATGAGTGGTTGTAGTCACAATGTCACAATGTTCAAACGGACTGGGGATAACACCTGCAAAATATTGTCAGTCTAGTTCAGTATTGAGTAAAAAGGTAAGCGACATACGAAAATCTTTTTTGCTCATTTAAGTACACAAAGCTATGGATCATACCCGATATTGAAAAATGGTTTAGCTTTATTTTTCTTATCGCTGATTCTCATTGAAGATTCACAATCTAATGAGAAATCTGTTAGTATGTGGTCTTTTCATATGTGGCTTATTGGTATTAGTCTAAAAAATATACTGTAAATTGCAGCAGAGATTGAGAGCAATGAAATATATAGTTTAATCTAACAAGTGCTTTACACACTGATTAAGTTTACAAAATCTCGACATTTACAAGAAGCACTGGTGTGCTTGGGCCAAAATAAATCCTTCTTGATAAATGTCTCTTAAACAAATTAAGATTCATCAGAAAAAGCAAGTGTTGACGATTGTGGTATTTGCAAATTATAGATTAAATGTTTTAATTTTGCATATCTGTGAATAAATCTCGAATGCCTTATTAATGGAATCCTCTGAAAGAAAAATACTGCGGAAACGGAAGTTTACATTTTTTTGTTAAAAGGGTGGCGAACAAACATATGGTGCACCTGATGATATGCGGCCACCATAACCTATAGTTAAACTAACATGAAAAAGACAGAAAATATAAGAATATACCGGCAGCTACTAGCCCCGAGACATGAGCCATGTCAGCCATGAGGTATGCTCCATTCTGATCAGCAATTTGTCTGAACCTTTTGTAGTCTAAACATCTGGAATAGCAGCTCATGCCAGCAATTATCAAACGAGGTTTGAACAGTTTTGCTGTTTCTGATAACATGTCATAATCAATCAAACCAGTTTCGGGATTAACCTGGAAAGAAAACATATATTTTATTTTTTTGTTAAAGTAACTAGAATATGGCTGACCAGAAATCTAGACGTATTTTATTCAGCTGACGAAAGCTCTCAAAGTATATTTTCTTATCTTGTGTTTGCAATAAAATATTATGATTGTAATGTAATTAAAGATTTATTGGTAATAGATATGATACTGCCTGTTATTTATACAATATTCTTGAGTTAGTGTGTTTAATTTATTGACAATATGATAGTGTTGTTATTAAAGAACACACATAATTTTAGTGATAATAATGTAACATTTGTTATTTATTACGAATAGTTTTGTAGACATGATTATACTTTACATTATATCTACCTCATTGAAAGTTATTTCTTAAATCTTTTATCATAATATAGGGACCATTGATATTTATAAATTGGATCTTTCAAGAATTTCATGCTATATTCATTTTATATAAAATTGTTTCATTGAGATCATAATTTTACAGAAATCTTTGAATTAAAGTTAAATTGTAATTTGCAGCACTTTTGAATTAGGATAAAAAAAAACTAGTTAATTTGAAATAGGTCACTGACCATAAAATCAGGAGGATAAGATTTGTACTGACCTTGTAAGGCATACTCTCAAAGAAAATTGATGTAGCTGAAATTTTCTTTGTAGCTGTAAAAAAACCATGTGTTAAATGGCCACCATCAGGCAAATCAAGTCCCATGATCCTGCCATGTGGTTCCACTACTCCTGTGTAAACAGCAAAATTTGCTGGAGAACCTGTTAAAACATTTTTAAATTAGTTATTGACAAATACAATAATAGAACAAATAATCTATATTTAATTATCTAATTCAACATATCTTTTTGGGTTAGTTTATCAATAATTCTACAATTATAGAAAAGGTTTGTAAATTTATTTAGGCCCATATTAATGGATCACTCTCAAATCTAAGAGCGATCTTGAGTACGATTTTGAGTTGCTGTTTTGTATGGAAACAGTATCTCAGGCTTGTAGCCTCAGAATTGAGAGTGCTCTGTTAATATGGGCCTTTGTGTTAAATAATATACCTGAATAAGGTTGAACATTTACTCCCCATTCTTCAGGATTCAATCTATAAGCATCTAAGGAACGTTTTTGAGCTAGAATTTCGATTTCATCAATGAATTCATTACCACCATAGTATCTGAAAATAACAAAAACTTCTGAAACCTCATAAAATACTTTTTTATAGCTGTTACATTTCAGCAAATTATTATGAGATTTCACAGATGACTAAGGCACGTATTACAGAATGACAAATAAGTGTTGAACTTTACTTGAGTACAGTTAGATAGGGATATCGCTATGTGCTATATATAGCGACATCCCTTTCTAACTATGCTCAAGACTAGATCAGTCACTGAGAATCTTTCTATAATACGGGCCAAGTGTTGTGAATTTGAATCAAGTAAAAATTAAGATAGTGTTGAAGTATTTTCTTGAAGCACTAACATATCAAGAAAGTTCTTATGTATAAATATACAATGCAAGGGGGAATGTTGCCAGTATCTTCAGAAACTTGCCTAAAGGGACTCCTTTTAATAATATATTTTAGTTAATATATATATATTTTTTAAGGGTTTTAATTTTAGGTTCATTGTTCTAGTGTCTTTTTGTTTTAAGCTAGTATTAGATAATAGTATATTTGTTAAAACAAAATGTGCAGTTAAGACATTATTAAATTTTACAATGTAAGTATTACACTTACCTCTGATGAGGCATACCCTCAGAGTATTTATTGTGTAGACAAGAACTTAGACATTGGAGAACAGAAACTGATGTGAAGTTTTCTGAAGCAATCATCTCCAAACCTGATTCTTGACGATGCAACTCATTTTGAATGATTTCATAAAGCTCAGGGTCTGTCTCCGTTAAACTTCCAGTCAGCAGTTTGCTACTCATTGTTGCTGTGGTATGTATCTGTACTGATCTAATAGACTGATTGAACTGAAATATGTAATTGTTTATTAAGTAATGGTCTTCGTTCACCACCTATTGTAAGACTGAATGTGCTCAATAACGTTCTATCAATTTAAAGATCAAGAAACGTGACCTGAAACTGATAATACATAACGCAACACTAAATAAGACTTGTGTTGTTTATTGCCTCAATACATCAGCCTATAACGCTCAGCTGTTTACATTTTTTTATCAGCAATGTGTAAGTAAAATGACGACATAAAATAATACTAAGTATTTAACTTATGTAAGTACCTCTACCTGGCTAAGTAAGAATATTCTTTTTGCTTACAGACGCTGTTAGTAGCTTACGATGGACATGGTCAGTGGTTATACATAGAATATGTGGTGTTTTACTTCCCTTACTAATACTGTAAAATAAGGGACGAAAGAATATATTGACCAAATAAAAAAATAATAGTATCAAATTTATCGGCGTAGTTACTCACCAAGATAATTAAAATCAAACCAAGTAACCTCAAGACCAGCGATTTTTTTTTCAATTTCAGTTTCACACGCTTCGCTCCCAGCCGCTATTTTCAATTACTAAAGCAATAAGGTAATTTGAACTCTATCAACACAACAGTTGTAAGTGATAAACTACTTACCTTAAAGTTTAATTTTGATTGTAGTGTCGAATTATAGTGTTTTATATACAGTTCTGGATATAGAACAGACTTTCGACTAATATCAAGAAATAACTTTCGGATAAATATACTGGACATTTTTATAGCACAATTCACGTTTCACACAGTCACACACATGAAAGTATACTTGAGAAAGAATTTTTATTTCCTACCATTGTCATTGATTGATAACCTATTATGAACTTTCGTGATATTACACAAGTAACAACTGGACTGACGACTGACGGTTCGGACAAGGACTGGACCAATCGGACTCACTGATGAATGACAGATGATTTAGTCAAAGGTAACTCGGTCCATACAGCTTTACCGCGGACTACTAACAATGCGCTCCAGCAGCGACTAATTAGAATATCAAATTACTTCAGATGTAGATAGCAGTTATTGATCATTAATTATGTTTGGTTAAAGGTAAATCATTGTCATTGTCAACATGAATGGAACCGTGCAGGGCCGGTTTTAGGATTATCAGCGTCCTGGGCGAGATTTCTGCGGCGCCCCCTAAGCTAACTGTAATTTAAACCCATACGAAAAGAGGCACCAGTAAGGACCGCTGAAGCTTTTTTTTTCTTTCTTTTAAAACCTGTTTAATACAGGTTTCGACAGTTTATCCTCTGACATGACCAGAGATATTTTATATCTTTATGTTTTGTTTATCTATTTTATAGTATTTTTCCATAGATTTTTATATATAGGTAATTGTATATACAGGGTGGCCGGGGAGTCGACGTTCAAGCGTAAAATTTAGATACTTTAAGATGAGGAGTATCCAAATCACCCCCATGTATGTTCTACGATTTTGCGTAGTTTACGAGTTATAATTTTTTTAATGATTTTTTTCGTAATTTTCACCTAACATCAGTTTTCGAATTTTTTCTCATTCTGTTGGACGTTTCTGGTTCAGTTTTTTTTTATGATAACTGACTAACATAGTCTAACCTAGCACCCGAAAACTTATGGTTTATCTAGGCATTGCAGAATTTACTTAGAATTTATTTGAAAGTTCAAAATTACGATTTGAGCTCAGTACACACAAATTTTCAAAGTATAAAAAAAATGTAAATGGGGGGATTTTGAGTTCAAAGTGCTTTTAGAAACTTTCTGAAACATTAAACTTTAAAAGAAGGCCAAATAAAGATAGGGTTAATGGGGGTTTATTTTGTGAAACTGACCTTCAAAGTAAATTAAGGGATTTTTCAAGGAAAAAAAATAATTATTTTCTTTCATTTAAATCTTTGCCTTTCTCTCAGTTATGATGGATTTGAGTAAAACACAGTTGTTAATGACCTAAATTCTAATTCTTCGAGTTTCTAGATGCATGCATTTAATTAGAAACACAGGTATGATTTCATTGTTGTGATTTTAATCATGAAAAAAAGGTTCAGGTAAAAAAATGTTGCTATCTCACTCTCTCTAGTTTGTGTCTGTGGGTTAGAGTAGTACAGTAACATTAGAAACAGGTTTGAGAGAGACGTTGACGCTAACAATGAGTACACCTGCGTTCCGTCCCTCAGTCGTACTCACCCTGTGTTTACTACTACTCGTCTTGTTCTGCCGTTTTTTCTCGACCACTATTTGCCTACTGCTACTGCTGCTGCTTACTTGTTTGACCCCTGCTTGTTACTGGATTCCGTTGTGCCTAACGATATGGACTGTAGTTACTTGGAAGTGTTAGTGATGCCTTACACTCTGAGTGAATATGCAGAAATGCAATCTTTCTTCGGCGTTGCACAAGGCAACGGTCGTGAAGCAACAAGACTTTACAGGGATCAACTTCAACGCCGTGGCGGAGCGCAACCTGATCATTACTCTGACTATCGTGTGTTCATTAATACTCACAATATGTTAATAGCAGGCCGCATTCCTGGCCAACGTGGCGGTGAAGGCATTCAGAGGGTTGATCAGGAACGCAGGGAAATCGTACTGGAAGAAGTGCAATGCAATAGTAGTACAAGTACGTGAGCATTAGCTCGTAACCTTGACATACCAAGATCTTCAATACAGGATATTTTGCGTGAGGAATCATTTCACGCCTACCACATACAAAAAGTACAAGCGTTGCAGCCTTCAGATTATCAATTGAGAGTCGAGTTCTGAAGAACTATGTTGCAGAAAGAGGAAGAAGATCCCGGATACTTTAATAAAATCTTGTGGACCGACGAGTCAAGATTTGAGCGAACTGGGGTTTTCAATATCCACAATTTTCACATTTGGGCCGTTGAAAATGCACATGCCGTCAGAATATCATCATTTCAACATCGTTTTAGCGTGAACATGTGGTCTGGTGTTTTGAATGGCGAATTAATAGGCACATTTGAACTGCCATCGAGATTAGACGGCGACACATACAAAAGTTTTTTAGAAGACAATCTACCCATATTACTGGAAGATGTAAATCTTGAATTAAGAAGAACGATGGTGTTCCAGAACGACGGGGCGCGATGTCATTACGCGACACAAGTGCGTCGCCATTTAGACCAGACCTACCCCAACAGGTGGATCGGACGACGAGGGCCAATTGCCTGGCCACCACGCTCACCTGACCTCAACCCTATTGAGTTTTTTATCTGGGGCTACTTTAAAGAAATTGTGTACGCCAGAGAAGCTTCGAGTGAAGAAGAACTGAGAGCAAAAATTCGCGAAGCTGAAACCACTGTGAAAAATAACCGTGAAGCTTTTAGGCACCTAAAACATAATTTTTTGCGCAGATGTAGATTGTGTATTTCTGTAGGAGGGCGAAATTTTTAAAATTTGCTTTAAATAAATGTATTTTGTTAACAATTAACTGCGTTTTACTCAAATCCATCATAACTCATAGAAAGTCAAAGTTTAAATAAAATAAAATAATTATTTTTTTTCCCTTTCAAATGCCTTAATTTACTTTGAAGGTCAGTTACAGAAAATAAACTCCCATTAACCCTATCTTTATTTGGCCTTGTTTTAAAGTTTAATGTCTCAGGAAGTTTCTAAAAGCACTTTGAACTCCAAATCCCCCCATTTACATTTTTATTTGATATTTTTGAAAATTTGTGTGTACTGAGCTCAAATCGTAATTTTGAACTTTCGAACAAATAGGGATGATGACAATTTTTTTTTCTTCGTTTATCAGGTAGATTATCAAAAAGTATTGGACACGTATTTTTTCTTTTTTCACATAATATAAACATTGGTGCCAATTCTGGAGTGATTCTCTAAACTTAAAACTAAATTTAACATCAGTCTCTCCTTTTCATTCGGTAAAGAGAATGACAAGGATATACTGCTGTCAAATTTAAGTTTAAGTTTAGAGAATCACGCCAGAATTAGGCCCATTGCAGAGATATATTAATTTGAAAAGTCGCATGACGTCAAGTTTGAGTACACTTATAAGTGAAAATTCACTCAAAAGTGACGTCACGAGCCCCTACTCCATGGAGCACCCCCACTAGAGTCCGCATCACACAAATTTTATTTGGAATCAAAATCGCTAAAGTCGGTGGGGTGCAGGGAGGTCAGCCCCGCTGTGATTGGACGCGTCAAGGTCAGATCATATACTCAGTGCAGCGAAGTGATGAGGGTAAGATCGTTTTTAGAAAATATCGATATTTTCTATCGATAAACAATTTAGAATAGAGGCCTAGCACTTTGGTGCGCAAATGCGTAATCATACCCTCTCCACTTTATTCCAGCGTTCTAATTACATGACGCGACTAGTAACTACATACTAAATTATATATAAGCAACACAAAAAAAACACGTCCAGGACAAGAAGTATTAATGCAACGATATTAACTACCCTAGATACAACAACACGAACAAAATCGTGGCCAAAACGTGTCCAAAAGGTACATTGGACGATCCACGGAGGTCCGTAACATGATCGCGTGGTCACAAACATTATAATGCCTTATTTAAACATTGAAAGTCACCTTTAATGCATACGGCATATAAGGTCTTAATTAAAATGCATGCGTCAAGTTCGTAAAATTTTACGATTTATTGTTATATGTGAAAGAATATAGACCTTATTTTTTTTGACTTTTCACTCGCAATTCTGAATGCGCTGTTAGCAATATATCAAGTACAGACCGCGAAGAAAAGAGATGGCTAAGGGCGACGTATAACCGACCATGCATTTGAATATCACAAATATTTTAAATTAAATCAGTTTATAGTAAGTATTACAACAATAAAATTTGCTTTAAAGGCGTTAATTAAAAAACATTAATTAGATACCCGTCGAAAAAACGACACTTTACGTACTATTAGTATTTTTCTGCATTTTTTCACGGAACTCTTTGGCATCTTGACTTTTCAACGGTCCGCGTGTGAATGTGTACTAAGAAGTGCTTGAGTGGAGTTCAAGCACTTCTTGATTGGGACACATTTTGAGCGCTCGTGGTGTATCTAGGGTATTTAATATCGTTAATTCTATGTCTATATCTAGGTCATAAACTATGCGCACTTAATTTCATACAAATCGTTTAACCGTTTTAGCGTGAAAAAGTAACAAATATGCATACAAATTTTCGTTTTTTCAATTTTATTAGGATATGTTTGAAGTCAAATAAAAACTGTTGGTTGTATACTTATGACATCTATTATTGTATACGATGAAATAAATAGTTTTTATTTATTTTTTCCATTTCCATAGCTGACAAACTTATCGATAAACTTACGCGTTGAGACATGAGCTGCGTCTGAGTCACTAGCAATACACGTGCCGGTGTGAGAGCGAGATAGAATATATGATGTAGCCCATGCGAGAAAGGGATAGTGTAAAAAGACATCAACGCGTTCACCAAAAAATAAATACAATTAACAGCAATTTAATATAACAGTATTTTTGTCTTTTTGTAATGCATTTAAACTAACCAGTGAAAAGTAATACCATTTTTTTGAAGACTGGAAGTTGTACTCGACTTTCCACACAATTTAATTGCACAGTACGGCATTTTTTACAGTTTTTTAACACGAAAACGAGAGAAGCAGTTCGACCAACGCTCGGTTACCAAATGAAACGATGTATCGCGACGTCTGTAGGCGTGCCTCACGCATAGGTAAAATACTACTTAAGCTTGGCGTAAGCGCTTGCCCTTGTATGCGGACTCTAGTGGGGGTGCTCCGTGCCCTACTCCCAAACTTTGACGCGCCATAACTTTACCATTTTTTGGTTGATTGCCCAAAGAAAAAATACGTGTCCATTATTTTTTGATCATCTAACTGACGGACTAAATAGA